GTATTTGCTACTGGTTCATTAACTATGGCTACTGGTTCATATGGGTTTCCCGAAAGTACTTTTGCGAGCATACCAAATAAGTTCCAGTGAACTTCCATAAAGGAAATATGATTACGAATGCATTACTTAACTGCAATTTATTACTTATCAACAAAGGTCAAGATTGTTTAGTACATCAACGAATATTTCATTTACATAAATGCCTTCCCTTTTTAAACTTTTCTCACCACAGCATTCCCCAACTCAAAACGACATTTTTCAAGATAAGAAGCTTGACTGCTTGATAAAGCCATCGCATTATTGCCTACCATACAGCTAAAGACAATTCTAAAATTCTGTTGACTCTTCTTAATTTCAAAATAGCAAAAATTATTTTATTCAGCGAAAAGTACATTAATCAACTGAAAATAGACGTTGATAATAACCCTTTATTAAGTAAATACTCACACCTGAATGATATTAACTTATAAATATACTTCAAAATCGACAGAAATACATAAACAAATCAGTTACTTCCCCTAAGATCGATAAATATTCGTGGGAAAACTTCGTGCTTCTATTTGATATTATGCGGGGTAAAATAAAAGAGATATTTGTCTCTGTGAACAGTTATTTCGAAAATTATTTCAAAAACACAAATTTTTGCAAGGATACAAAAGGAATGCTCTAAAATTTATAATATGCTGAGGTCTCTAAGATGCAGAACATTCGATTGAGTGCTTGCATAAAAGTGTGCATAAAAACTCGAGAGGATTTGTGTTGGTAACAGTTTAATTTTCCTGAAAATTATTTACGTCTAGTTAACGCAATATTTTCGGCCGAGAAGATCAAGTTATCGAATACGTTTGGCTGAGAGCAGTATATACGTTTAAACTCTACATCTTTTTTAAAACTTCATAAAAGTTTCAAACATTATATCTGTGAAAAACGTTGTGTCATTTTTTAAGCTTCAAATGATAAAAAGGAATACATTAAAAATAAATGTTTAAAGGCCAATAAATCTCCTCACATAATTGTTTGGAAATCATCATTACAACTTCGAGCTTTACGCCAAAAAATACTTAATATTATTACCCAAAACCTATTATCAATATTGAAATTTAAAACCACCGGTAAAACAAACGTACTAAAATTATTCAAATTAATTTTTCAGACAATGATTTACGTTTAAAACGTGCAAATATCATCTACTTACCCGAATTACTTAATTCTAAAATACATAAACAAGTATAACTACAAGGGCTTTGT